TTAATTTGTTTATGCTTTGGGTTTCTCACGTGAAAGAAGCCACGTGATATCTAAGCTTGTGCATCTGATTTATTTCACTTAACACTATGGCCTCAAGATGCATTCATTTTTCTACAGATGATTCAAATTGATCCTTTTTATGGAAGAGCAGGACTCCACCGTATATAAACACCACAGTTTCTAACCCATTCATTTCCTGATGGGCATGTAGGCCACCTCCAAGGTTTAGCTCTTGTAACTTGTGCTGCTGTAAACATAAGCATGATGTGTTGTTGTTAATGTGATGTTTTTAATTCTTTGGGGAGGACACCTCAAATGAGGACAGCTGGGTCAAATGGAATTTCTATTTTTGGTTTTTGAGGAATCTCTAAACTGATTTCTAGAGTGGTTATGCTGGTTTACTTTCTCACTAGCAAAACTGAAGCATTCCCTTCCCCCACAGCCTCACCAGCATCTGGTATTATTTGATGTCTTGATGATGGCCATTCTTTTGGAGTAAGATGGAATCTCTGTGTTGTTTTAATTTGTATTTTTCTAACAGCCAGAGCTGTTGAACATTTTTTTCGTGTATTTATTGGCCACTTGTGCTTCTTCTGAGAAGTGTCTATTCATTTCAGTGGTCCATTTAAATTGGGTATTTTTATTTTGAGGTGTCCAATTTTTTTGAGTTCTTATGTATTCCTGACATTAGTCCTCTGTTCAAGGTGTAGCTGGCAAAAATTTTTTCTCATTTTATAGTTCATCTCTTCACTCTCTTCATTGTTTCTTTTACTGTACAGGAGCTATTTAATATGATATAACCCCATTCTTTGATTCTTGATGTTTGGCTTTTTGTTTGTTTGTTTGTTTGTTTTGTTTTCTTCCAATACCGGAAATCAAACTCATGACCTCGCACTTGCCAGGCAGGCACTGTGCCGCTGAGCTAAATCTCCAGCCCCTCTTCATGTTATTTTTTGAGAACCTGTTCAGTGCTTATAGCAGAGGAGCACATTTTTGTCTAAATATGAAACTACCAAAAATTGATTCTTTTTAAAAAATATATTTATGTGTATAAAGAGAAAATATCCACACACAAACACACATACATATTTATGTATACATTTACAAAGGACTTTGGAAGCAACCAACGTTACTTGCTACAAAAACCAAGAAATAAATGTTTGTTTTGATTGTAGTCTGTTTTGTTGCAAAGATCATGAATTTGAATACATTATTAAATTTTCACTGAGGTGATCTAATATCAGCCAGCTTTATATTACTGTCCGGACTATTAATGTCGACATGATTTAGCAAATTCTGTCTCCACTCAGGGATATATCCTCTGGGTTGTAGAAGCATAATACCGACGAAAAAACAATGCAAACCCGGTCTTGGAGAAATAAACAGCATCTGCTCCCTGTGTTAGATGCTGACACGTCACAGAATAGCAAGTTTCCCTTTTCCTACACGCTCCTCTGCGCACACCGGCTATTTCCCCCTCCTAATACTGTGCTGGCCCGCTGCTCCCTCCGCCGTCTCTACGGTAGAGCGCGTCCGAGACCCCGCTTCTACGCGGCGGGGATGACGGGGAGGAAGAGTGGTGTCACCACCGATTCTTTAACAGTGCAATGGCTATCGTAGCCTCGAATCCTCACCCCAGAAATGGCAAGACCTCCGTGCAAGCTTAGAAGAAAACCAGAGTGGGGCAACTGCTTCGCCGGCAGCATGGGAAAAAAATCAAATGCGTGACCTCTGGTGTTAACTGTTAACAGTGCAACAGATATGACCCAGAGAAGAGAAGTAGAGTCTCTTGAGAGTTGTCTGTGGTGCTGAGGGGTTGTGTGTAATGTGTAGTGTGGTGCACACAGTACATTCTTGTCCTCTCCTACCTACTGTCCAGGTGCAGGTGCTTATTACAGTTTACAAAGACTGCAGCTTGGGCTGGGGTATAGCTCGGTGGCACAGCACCTGCCTGGCAAGCCCAAGGTCTTGAGTTCGATCCTTGGTACCAAAAAAGAAAGAAAAGAAGTACAAGGTCCTGTATTTCTTTTCAGTCTGTAACACAACGTGGCATTACAATCCGTGTTTCTCCCCAATAATGAAAATTATCAGTGCTAAAATTTTTGCCAGGCACGGTGGTGCATGCCTGTAATCCCTGCACTTGGGAGGCTGATGCAGGAGGATCGCTGCAAGTTCGAAACCAGCCTGGGCTACAAAGTGAGCTCAAAGCCAGCCTGAACTGCATAGAGACCCTGTCTCAAAAAGACAAAGACTGCATCTTGTGTTCTCCTTGACTTTATTCTCTTTAGATCACAGCACACATTAAGCAAGGCATTTGTTCAATTCATCCGTTCAGTCACTTATTCAATAACTATATACTAAACAAACAGGAAGTAAAACTCATCCTTTGGGGGTATTTTTGTATGGGGAATCGAACTCAGGACCTCGCGCTTGCCAGGCAGGCGCTGTGCCACTGAGCTATATCCCCAGCCCATATATGTACTGTTGTGTACATGGAAATCCCAGAGAAATTTTGGGAAGAATACATTTTAAAATCTTATAGATCCAATGGATTCCACTTACAGAAATCGTTCCTAGAGAAATATCTATAGCTGCATGCAGAGTTTCATTTATAAAATCTTTTCTGCAGCATCATTGGTAGTGATGAGAAATAAGAAAAAAACCTAAATGTGTGTGAGTTCAAGGTCAACCGTGAGCAATGGCAGAGTTGTACCTTTGACCGCAAGGCTGCCATTGATCAGAATGGCTTGACCAATGGGAACTGATGCAGGAAACCTCCGACATACCTCTGGAGCCTGGACAATACCCTCCATACCCACACTTCAAAATAGGATGCCTGCGGCATAGAAATTCCACAGCCAAGACTTGGTTCTCAACCTGTCTGAGCAGTGTCTCCAAAACTACCATTAGATGTAAAAGGAAAATGTAAAGCCCAAAATAAAACAACCAGACATTTTTACCAAACCAGCAGATTCTTAGACCTCCTTATTCCCTCACCCACCTCTGCATTGCTGTGGGAAGACAGGAAGACGGGAACCTAGTTCTCACCCCAAGTCTGGTATCTCATCTAGAGAAAGTGGTAAGGTCGTTTGAAAAACACACTCAAAGAAATCTTGCCAGGTGTGGTGGCGCATGCCTGTAATCCCAGCACTCAGGAGGCTGAGGCAGGAGGATCGTTGCGAGTGCCAGGTCAGCCTGGGCTACAAAGTGAGCTCAAGGCCAGCCTGAACTATATAGAGATCCTGTCTCAAAAAGACAGACAGACAGACAGAAAGAAAGAAAGAAAGAAAGAAAGAAAGGAAGGAAGGAAGGAAAGCTCAGGGGAATGACTCTGATAAATCACCCCTGTGACAAGTTACAGTAGAAAGATGTGAAGCTTCACTCCCTCAGTGTCTTTAGAATTGTAACAGTGTCTCCTACATCAGCCATGCTACAAGTATTTGGCATTTGCCTAGTACTCACTGAAAGACTGAGTAAGAGACGGAGCTACCGTTTCCTTTCTAGATACCTACGCTCTACTTTTGGGGCTCTGAAATTAGAAATTTTAATGATTGAAGTGTTAACACATTGCCTTTACTTGGTTTAGATTTTGTTTGAAGTCAGTGAGGATTGCTAAAAGTATAAGATCCAAGATTAGGTTTTTACATTAAAATTTGGTCCAATTAAGCTAGGCATGGTGGCAAACACCCGTGATTCCGACACTATGGAGGCTGAGGCAGGAGGATTGCCATGAGCTAAGGTAATCTTGGGCTACACGGTGAGTTTAAAGTCAGCCTGAACTACATAGAAATTAATGCCTGTTTTTAAAACATAAAAAAAATTGTTCCAATTGCATATCTGCATATCCATGTAATTTGAGACCATAAACCAAAGAGATTTTAACTTGTACCTATTATAGTCATGTCCAGATAGATATCAACATTCCCACTTCTTCCCTTAAGGAGATGAAACATACCTCTACTCAGCCGGGGATGTAGCTCAGTGGCATACGAGCCTGCCTGGCAAGCACAAGGTCCTCAGTTTGATTCCTGGAACAAAAAAAAGAAATATACCTCTACTCTCAAAGTTGTGTCCAAAAAACTCGCCACTGCAGCTGGGCATGTAGGTGCACACCTATAATCCCAGCACTCTGGGAGGCTGAGGCAGGAGCATCACAAGTTTGAGCCCAGCACGGGCAATTTAGTGACTCAGCAAGACCCTGTCACCAAATGAAAAATGAAAAAGGACTGAGGGTATAGCTCAGTGCAAAGCCACTGGGCTCAGTCTCCATTATTAGAAAGAAAGAAAAGGGAAAGGAAGGGAAGGGAAGGGAAGGGAAGGGAAG